ACATGAATATAAAGCTGCTTTGGACTTCAAAGTAGCTGTATGTTATGCCCACCGAGCACTGGCAGTGGTTTTGGCAGAAACAGAATGAGATAGATCAATTTCCATACACACAGTTATAAATATCATGCATAATGTACTTCATAATGACAAAGCGGGGTATTTATTTACTTTCCTTCCTGTCTCACACTTGCCCTTCCAGCCCCAGCCATCATAATTTGATATTTTGCAGTTAGGTTTGAAATTTTCTTGAAAATGATTGATTAGTGACAGTATTAGTGGCTTTATGTGTGATCTACAGCAAACAATACTGCAGTTTGACCCCCAAAGCAGTGCATCAGTGTGCTGGAGTAGGTAGCATAAACACGGCCTCGAGGGCACTCATAGCCTTCAGAGCTCTTGGTTTCGGTGAAATCGGGGTAATTCAGATCGCTTTTACATTGCTCTTTCACTATCAAACACCAAATGCTGTACACCTTGTAAAAATTCAGCTTTTCCTCGTTACAATGTTGTAAGTTGTTTATATTTCCGATCAGGGTTGGGTTGATTTAAATCAGTTGATTTTTTAAAATTTAAATCAACTTGATTTTTAAAATAAAAATCAGTGATTTTAAATCACTTTTTAAAAATTTATTTTTATTAAGTTTTTACATATTTCAACATTCAGAATTCCTTTCCTAGGTTTCATAAAACAGATAATAAGGTTTAGTACACTAATATAATCATGCTTAAAAGTCTGCCCTTTCACTGTAAAATAATACAGTATTCAATTTACTTTTTTCCCCCATAATTGAAATCAGAGCTGGGTTGATTTTAATCAGTTGATTTTTTTATTTTAATCAACTTGATTTTGTGATTTAAATCACTTTTTACAAAATATATTCTGTTTTTACATATTTAAACATTCAGAATTCCTTTCCTTGGTTTTATAAAACAGATATAAGGTTTAGTAGACTAATATAATCCTGCTTAAAAGTCTGCTTTCCCCCCTGTCACTGTAAGTAGTAAATTAATACAGTATTCAATTTACTTTTTTTTCATAATTGAAATTAGCATTTTCTTTTTCTTTTTAGACAAACACAAGCGCACACACTCGCACACTGTAATAAAATACAAGTTTATCTATGCATAATTACCCCCCCCCCCCCCCCCCATTTCCTTTTAGACTGACATTTTCTTCATTTTTTGTCTGTAGCCATAATTCACTGATAATAGCAGATTGAGGCTTTCTTTTGCAGTTGCTTATATTAATCATTAGTTAAAATAAAGACAATGCATTCTGCACTTAAAGAACATACTTTTAGCCACCAAAAATCCCAAACTCTGTCGACATTTTTTTTAAAATATAAAAAATCCGATTTAAATTTTAAAAAATCTGATTTAAATTTTAAAAATCGATTTTTTAGATTTTTATTTTAAAAAAAAATAAAAATCACCAACCCTGTTTCCGATTATTAGGAGCTGTAGAGTCACCGTGGAAAACGAAGCCCCTCGTGGTCGAAATGCATGGTCAGCTGGTTAAAAAATTGACATGCGTGCATTCAAATGCTTCGCGGAAAGATTGATAATTAAATACCGTCTTTTCATTGGCAAAGAACTGTAGAGCTTTGAATGGGCTTTCCCTGGTACAAGGCTTGAATTAGGTGTTCAGGAGGGCAGGCAAAAATTGCCTCGGTGGGGCCTAAAAGTCAGAGGGCACCGAGGCAGTTTGCTAGGGCACCAAGGCAAAAATTATAGGTGATCATTTTGTTGATTTAAGTTGGTAATACTGGATCATGCATCACAACGTTTATATAGATAACAATATAATTTATTCTTGCTCTCAACAAAAGTATAGAGTTATCGGAAAATTTTAAAAATCATGAATGAAAGCTAAGTAAATCACAGTAAAATCACACCAAAACAAAATCTCTAGTAATCACAGTTTTAAATCAAACAATGATCACGATTGCATCTGACTTTTAAATGCCTTTATGACTAGATTTTAGCTCTTATTGATTGAGTTAATATGAATAAATATGACTGTTGACAATAGGGCACAATAGGGAACAGTAAATAACATGACCAATTAGGTAAGCCATTAATCTTTTGAGATTCAAACAAAGTGGTTTACAGGCAGTGTAGTGGTAAAATAAGAACAAATCATGGTAAATGAAAACAAATTTTGAACTTGTATGAAGAAGAAAAAGTGAGGAGTGAAAACAACTTATGAACTTGTATGAAAAAAAAAGAATGAATAACTAAAAACTGCTATCAAGCAGTTAAACAGTGTGAGGTTCTGACTATGATAAGTGAAAACAAGTTTTGAAAATACAAGTTTTAAAGTACATTTATGTTTTATTTAAAAAAGACCTAAACAATCAGTATGTCATATTATGACTTATGACTAGATTAGACAATATAGAAAATATGTAGACAGACAATAGAAAATATGTAGATCCAGACAATATAGAAAAATACTGGCTTACTGTTTGTCCCTTATGGGGAAAAAAACCCCAAGTGATTTTAAAAGTATCACCAGATAATGATGATTTCAGAGAATAGTGTTGTTTTATTAGGACGTCTATTTGTGAGACACATCTCTTGCCACTTGTCTCACATCTGCAGTCTTCTTTTTCATTCAGAGCTTTTTTCAGACACTGCTGAGGTTTGATCATTGCTGTGAGTGTGTTTGCACTAGCCATGACAAAATGGACACAATTGTCAAGCTGAGCAGTGTCTGACTGAAGCTTTGATGAGATTTCAGACAAGTCTGACAGGATTTCTCCATACCCCTGCCAGGGGCGGCTCGTGGGGCTAAAAAGTGGATGTGCACAATTAAGCTAACGCATGCTGCAGATTGTCAAGGGCATAGTAAATGAGATGGTGTATAATTTTAGGATCTTTTGGTTGGTGAGGGAGGACCTCGTGCTTTTATTTTCATTCTTTTTACATGTCGCTTTGATTTCTAGTACTAAATTTGTTTGTTAGCTAAACATTAATTTCGTTCATCCTACATTAAAACTTACCTCTCAGGTAATAACTTTCACCACTCCACTACAAAGCCATTTAAATGCACAACTCATAGGACGGTCACGTTCACCTCCCTCAGGTTCACGGTCACCGAAGTGGCAAGAGAGACAATGAACCATTCACAATTCACTTGAGCACTCCGCTGGATTGCTCCGGGGCTCACATAATAATAATATTGGCAAAGAATAGCGTTCGGTCTATCGTGTTTATTTTTAGACTGCCTACTGTGGGCTATGTTTCGGCACTGTTCAGCAGGAGCACATTTAAGATGTGCCGTCTTATTAATATTAATGTACCGCCAAACTCGCTATGAGTGTCGTCATCGCTTGGGTTATCCCCAAGAGCGATTTATAGGTCAGGTTACACTGTTGAATATCCGATTATGTTTAGCTAAAGCGCATGGACTTTGGCATGGCATTGTAGGTGTTTTACGGAGCTATAGACACAAAAATGACAGTTATGGCACCAGTGAGGACCTTGTTTTGATATAATATTTGGCTAGTGTTTGTTTCTGCCTTCTTTTAATATATTATTGTGGGTGTTTTATGTAATAGAACATTAAAAAATTTTGGGTGGCGCTGCATGACCGTGCTCTATGGACGAACCACGCCTCCCCCCCCCCCCGCCCTCCCAATTATTGTATCTTAAAAGTTTAAATAATCAATAATTCCCCCCATTTAGGAGTCCCATACTTTGCGGTGTTCAGACTTTGAATGGCCTTTGATGACCCCAACAACCAGTGCTCACGCAATGCCGTATCTTTTGATTAAGTTGTGATACGCACAGGTTCACTGACCTACCGTGGTGGCGAACCCGACAAGACGCTTGTATAACTTTCTTTTCGTTTCTTTTTCCACAAGTGACAGCACAGGACAAATATTGATCTATTTTCATAGTGGCACATTTTTAAAAAACAAAAATACAAGCGCACGGCAAAAATTGCCGTGGTTGACCCTTTGATTTTTAGGGCATTACGGCAAATTGGAGAGGCACCAAGGCAAATTGTCGCCTGAACCGGGTAGCGCTGTGCCTATGGCCCGTAGAATTTACGGGACTGTGACAGTGGTTGTTTTAATTAATACCAATTATAAGGGAAGTTATTATTAAAGTCTTGTAATTATTATTGGGGTACCTTCCCTTTATGTTTACCTCCAGTTTCCCACCCATTTAAAAGCATCAGAATCAGATTCAAGTTTGAAGAGAAAATTAGATATCTAGATTCTAAATCTAACACACTACCTCCCAAAAATGACTTACTGACAGTAAACACAAATGGGCTTACATGTTTATGGATTGTATAGTGTTTTATAAGGTAGGAAAAGCCTCTTGTCACTTTTTACCTGCAAACACTCACACAACATGTATTCCCCCTTTTTTGGTCTCAGTTTATCATGACTAGAATTTGTGTTGTTTATGTTGTTCGGTGGTGTTGATTTTGGCATCATTTTACTAACTCCAACTTTTCTCCATCCATCTCTCAATGAAGTTCCCCCCAAATTATATCAGTCAATAGAAATGTGGTTCAAGGTAGAATGTACATGCAGAAATTCATGAGGAAATATTCATAAATAAAAAAAGTCATGGGTGGTAGAGTTGGGTCACCCGTGAGCAGCCATGGTTCTCCGGATTTCCTCCGGCATAGGGGCCTATTTACCTACGGCATTGAAGAGGTTAATACCTCGTCTTTTTGTTGTTTATGGTTTAGTAGCACCTGTCTTTAAAAAACCTGTGGTATTGCTATGCTTGTTTCATGTCGTCACTGGCTTTGGGCGCTGTCACCTCTCTTGAGCTGAGCACATTTTACAGTACAGTATGCTGATTTACTCTGGTGTCTATTTCTGTGTGTGGCTGTTCGACAGATGGGATTGGAATTGACACACTTAATTATCAATTACTATCGATCAATAAATTAGCATGAATGTGCTTTGTTTGTAATTTGTAATGTTTACATCAGATGATCAATTGACTTTTGAATCACCTTTCTTCCTCAGTTACCACCACAACCACAGCCAGACAAAAAAGTAATTGAGCAGAGAGAAGAAGAGAAGTTGAAGTCAAAGTACCCAAGCCTTGCTAAAGGTGGAGGAGGTTCAGCATTGCTCAATAAAAGACTACAGAAAGGAGGGGTAAGGCCTTACAAATGAAAAGGGAAACAGAGATGCCAATCAGTGCAATTTTTTGCCGAAAATATGCGAATACGACTTTTCATGTGAAAATACGCATCCTGGAATGCGAAAAATACGAGATTCAGCTTGGGCGAGTAAACCTAATTATCTCAAGTCCCATCTTTTGTCAAAATAGTTTCAGTATCGCGGAACTGGAATATTTGAAAACCAAGTCCGATAAGGTCAGTAAGTTCAATTTTGCCGGTCACGATTGTGATATTATGTTCGTTCAGCCTTTCCCCGTCCGACAGTACGTTTCACTTCCACGCGGACAGGCGGCAGGCTCTATCGGGAAAATCAATATCTACTTTCGCTGTCGTTACCACAGAGAAGTTTGCCAGCGGTAGTCTGATAACGCAACTTTTGTGACATGCAGGTTGTGCAGTATAAACTCTGTGTCGCCGTGCAAATAAAATTAAATCAATACTCCGACTCGTCTCTGTGCTGTCACTTGTGGGGGAAAAAAGAAAAGAAAATACGTGCGTCGTCCGATTTTTAGATTGTCTGGCTCGCCATTGTGACCGGCCAGTGACCCTGCGCGCATTCGCATCATAAAAATACGGCATCGTGAGAGCAAAGACCGTCTTTAGTGGGAGTAACGGCATGGCGAAGTATAGGACTACGGAAAAGGGGAGGGGATTATTGATTTTTTTTTTTAAGATACGCTGAGGGGGGGGGGGGGGGTGAAGGCAACACCAGAGGACAAAAAGTTTGAAGCAATTTTAGTATTTTGATTAGAGCTCTCTGCAAAGAGCGCGTTGGTGCAGGCCGTGTGCGGAATCAGGACCCTTCATACTTTGCAAGTCTGTGTTGTTGAAATAAAGTCTAAGTGTTCGTGTTTTATTGGATGGGTGATAGTCACGGCGTCACTTTTCGCCCGATTCTGTTAGTTTTAGTTCGAGTGACCTAGCAGCCCGCCGGAGCTCCCCGGCTCGGGGTCACGGGGTTAATGAGCCCTGAAGCGACTTTGCCGGTGTCAGTCAAGAAGTTCGCATTTTTGACTATGTTTAAAACAATATAACTTCTTCCCCATCCCACATAGCAAACCATTACGCGGATGTACTAAAAGCTCAATGTCTTGAGATTTATTATGCGTTAGAATGGTTAGTTTCTGTGCCTTAGTTTTTGTTCTAGACAAGTCTTTGTAGAGTACCCAATGAGTCCTATTTTAGTTACAAACTTATGAATAAATGATTGTTAATTTAAAAAAGGCTCGACAGATCTCTCCAAAATCTGTGTTAAACTGACTACGAATATCATGTCTTTTACCATGAGAAATCTTAAATCTGCGCGGGTAGTAATAGTCAAGTTATAAGAGAAGAAAGATGCACATCTGCATTTTTTAACTAAAGACGATAAGCGTTAGCTCTTATTTTATTATTAAACAAGAGAAAGTTACTCAGCGTTTGTTCATGAATCATGCTGTGTCTGTGGCAGCCTGCATACAACTAAAAAGATATAATACATGTATAGAATCTAAGCGATTAAAAAACCCACAAAACCGTGTAAATACATGGGTAGAGATAAACTTCTTGTATGGAATAAAAATAATGACCGCTAAAACATTCATTCTTAGTTTTTGTGTAGGAAATATGCGAGGACACAATTATGAATGTAAAGAAATCAGTCACATTGTCAGTTATTGCAAATGGTCATAGAAACGAAAAAAAAAGCTGGAAAAGTCTGGTGCTGATTCAGTGTCCCTGGAAAGCTAGAAATTATTCTTACGAGAAGTCATCCCTATTATTCAGTCAACTTACAAAACCTAGACTTAGCGTTTTAAGAAAAGTAAGGAATTTCTGGAGTGTAACAGATACTGTTCGTGTATTAGATCTACTTTGAAGATGTATTCTAGCACTAAAATCGATTTGTACTTTTCATAGAGAAACTTCATGGTAACTTTTATATACTTTCGAGAAAATATGCGAATATTCACGATTATATTAGACACATAAAGTTGTATTTAGAGGAATTACTTCATAGCGAATTGTGTGCCCGATGGATAAAATTGTAAAATTACAGCCTTCTATTATAAGCGCAGATACCATCTTTTCTGAGTATCTGCACCAATGTTATGTCATTCATGTTCCAAAAGTTCGACAGATTTTGACGATGCCTTTTTTTTATATAGATTTTTTTTCATTCACGCTAGTCCAAAAAAATTTACAATTTAGCATTGCTAACTCCAGCGCGTTTAACGGAATAACCAGACAAGTTACAACGTCCGTTCTTTTTTGAGTCTCAAGAGCAGAAATGCGTGCTTTGGGTGCACTAAATGAGGATTACCATAAATACAAGGATACACCTTAAATTGTACGTTGAAAAGTACCAAAAATTAGGTCGGCCCAGACAGGGAGCTGACCCCCTGTGACCCCGACGTGATAAGGCGCCCGGCAGGGAACCCCCCGCGCCAACTAAAATTCCACTGCCGGTGCGCCGTGTAGTAAATTATACCTACAGTGTATGTTGTAGCTTTCTGTTTCAAGACTGGCAGATTTTCAGTGTCACTGCATCTTGCCCTGCCACAGTTGTTACAACTCTCACAGTGCTTGGGTCTACCTGAGCCATTCAAGTTATTGCTCTTCTCTGAGTTTGAGCTATAATTTTAGTCTGTCATTTCATAACATGAATTCTGACACCCAGACTGGTTCTTGATAGTCGAAATTCTTGTTCTAGACCCTTCCGAACACTCAAAGCAGGATTAATTTTTTTATATAATAATGAGACGAAAATATTATAATAAACTGAAATACTTCAAACAAGACCCCAGTACGACACTGAACACTAACATGTTGTTGACTGGACACATGTATATTGTACGCGTGTGTACTCCCTTTTTCGAGCTGGTGAGCTAGTAATTTTTTTTCAGGAAATATTCCTGGACACTGAACATTTTACTAGTTGGTCGGTCGGTCGTGGAGAATACACATTTTCCCCTGAAAATACACATTTTCATATTTCCCAATACTCATTTCGGTTTTCTGTGGTTGGCATCTCTGGGGAAATAATTTCTTTGGTTTTCCGAAAGTTGCAACATTCCTCTCTACTCTCTGCAGTGCATGACAATAAGTCAACAGTTTGTGAGATGCACTATATTGCGGTCTCTCAAAGGTTAAAATAACATTTTATTATCTGAATGCTGCTTTGTTTCTTTTGAATAAAGTTCACACAACTGTTAATGGAGTTAGTCGGAATTCTGTTAAGTAGAATGGTTTTGACAGTAAAATTCTTCTGCTTGTGCTTTGGATTTTACTTTTAAGTTTAAATGAGAGAAAAGTCATAAATGGAAAAATGGATGTGATAGCTGTTTTGAAAATCATTTATCCTGATTATGATGACGCATGGTTGTTTTTCGTGGTTCTAAATTGTTATTTAAAGGAAGTTTCCCCTGGATCGATAACAACATTTAAAGGCAGTTAAAAAACTGAGGGCATTATTGAAAATTTTAATTCAGTAAGGAATATTATCAGTCTACTTAGTGTACACCTTTTGATTTTTTTTCCCACGCTATTTTTCATTTTTCATGAACCTTCTGAATTTCAATTTGACTGGCTCAATGGTGTTGTCTAACATACTCCTAGATGTATACTATTGTTGGTCAGCTTGATTTTGGTCTTAGTCGGACATTTTATCATAGCAATACCAATGTCCCGCCGCGCTATGGGCTTGAAATCGGGCACCTCGCTAGGTGTAGTTTTTGGGCCGTTTGCGATCAGGGGTGGCTCTCTTCTGAGTATAGTTATGCTAAAATCTGTGGACGAAAATGAAATAAAATTGGCTGACAATTTGAAGAAATTACTACATGCGAGCGTACAATGCTGACAGATTTCTTGAATTGCAGTGTTTGTGTGATTATTTTCTGTTTTTCAAAAACTAAGAGGAGCTGCTGTGTCGTCGTATACCAGGCAGATGCTCTGCATAGATCTCTGTGTGTAGTATATTTTATATTTTACGTACCAACTTAAAATTACCACCCATCCAGCAATAAGAGGCAAAATCCGGAAACTATTTCAGAAAACTGAACAAGCTAACCTATTGGCATGTGAGAGGCACTTGAGATTGCTAGCAGTATGTAATTGGCTGCCTTGAACTAAATAAGGTCATACAAGAGTCCATTCCAGGTTTTCCCCACCTTGCTTTAAGTTGTTGAGGGGGTGATCGGAGAACATGTAAGCTGACAAAACGCCTTTTTTTCTTCAGAGCAGTTTCAGGAAAAAGAGTCGTTCCGAAATTTTGAATTCTAAGTTATTCAAAGACTAGTTACTGTTTCAATTTTATTTTTTCACACAAGTAGGATAACTGATCAGGCTTTCGATTTAGCAAATAAAAAATGTTGGCACCAAAATGAAAAAAGGTGTTTTGTCAGCTTATGTCACAACAGAGCTGATTCTTTTAAGATCAAAGTTATATATCATTTAAATTTGTAACAGGGAGAGTAAATTCTAATTCAACTAATTTCTGCCCAGTATGTTCTTAATTAGACCAATGTAGTTTTTAAGTAAAGATGTGTTGAAACTTATGAAATTTTGTAATGCCTCGCAAGCCTATGCCCCCGTATCCTGCCGTGCCAAGCCAAGGCAGAGCGACATATCTGCACTTTTTATGATTTTAAATTGCGTCGCGCTGCCATTGGAAGTATGGGCATGGCCCTTCAGTTACATCTGTTTGCCATTGTGAAATGTCCTATTTGTTGTGCAGATACGTCTTCCTGCCTTTGACACAAGATGCAGAATGTGTATAGGCGTCCATTTAAACGAAGATACAAAAATTAATAATTTTTGCCGATACGTTGGTTTGCCTTGGCATGGCAGTATTAGTAGCAGTTGAAGTTGAAGCGATGTCGAGCAATTAAACAAATATTTTCATGCAAATATTAATCTTAAAGGTCCAAAGTAATAAAGACATTGAAAAAGTGATAGCAGAATTAGATGCCAAGTTCCATTCATATATTCCAATTCATTACTGACTTATGAACAGTTTTCCCTCAAAATGCAGCAAGAAAAGTTCCACTTTTTGGCGATATTTTCCAATAAATGTCCCCCAAAATTTTGCAACAAAAAATCCCAATAACCTTTATTTATCCCTGGATTTTTGTAATTAAAAAACCACAATTCTTAGAATTTACTCCTCTTTCATTTGAGCTTGTTTTAAAGCAATTTGTATAAAATATGATTTTTTATTGTCATCGCTACTTTTATTAGGCCACTGTTGTAGTTGTAGCAGGTTGACAATACAGTGGAATCCTGTTATAATGAGAGGGAGGGGACCGGAGCAAAATGTCCGTTATAGCAGGATTCTCGCTATAAGGGATCCAGTAATAAATTCAAGGGAAACTGTAAAGTAGGCCTTGTAGGCCTACTAGTCTATGAGTTTGGTGTTCTGTTTATTTCCTTTTGCTATAATATCTCCCCTGATGATGATTTTGTTTTAACATGACCTCTAGGTCTTACTTGATCAAAAGTCGAATCAGTTTTTTTTTCTCTAGCGCTAGATCTAGCGATGTGGACTGACAGCTCGGTGTTGGCGATCAGAAAGAAAGGGCTCTGGGCTAACTCTCCTGCTGTGTTTTCCCCCACCCCACCCCACCCTGTGGTGCATTCCGTCTGCTTGCGCACGTCACACTTTCACTCCATCCATCACATTGCTGTGACCTCTCCATCTCCGCATCGGAGAAGTGAGAGGCATGGTAGGCCTTGATAATCTAAACTAGGCTTATGAAGGCCTATCACGCGATGCATTCTGCTTGTCTGCGCATGCCACACCCTCCCTACTCATTCGATCCGGCCTTCATTGAGGACGCACATGGGCTCTTTCTTTGTTTCGCAAGATCACCAAGTTTCTCAACTGGCGAGGTTTTAGTTTACAGTACGTATAATTGACCTATGCAGTGTGCACAGCAGCAGCAATATTCCGCTATAACCGACTCGCACGTTTGTCTGATTGCGCTATAGCAGTATTTTATTTACAAAGGTAAAGAGGAGAAAAAAACGGGATTTTCGAATAGTGTCTTAATAACTTCTCGTTTTTTCCGGACTCGTTATTAGTGGACTCCACTGTATAGGGCAGCTACCATTGTGCATGATTTACTCATTTTTGCTATATATACCATTGTTTCTCTGCTCATGTTCATTCTTTTAATGTTTTTGGGTTTTTTAGGGTCTAATTTTTCTCTTTTATAAGTTTTATTAGTTCTTTCTGATCAATTTACTCGAAAGTTCGGGCTATAAACCTTAGTTTTAAACTCTTCAACTTAAATAACGATGCAGCTAATTTGCAGATTTTCCTGATTGCAGGATCATCACTGCCTCGTCTATTTTTAGCATACACTTAGAACATTAAAAAGTTGACTCATTTTTCCCAACATCACGCTTTAGCCTGTCGTCAGAGAAATTTGCGCTCGCATCCTGCAACTTGTGCGTGCAACTTTTGCCATTTTCGTGAATTCGCAAATTTTAGCCAATTTTCCACAAAATTTGGAAAAATAATATTTTGTTAAGAACCCTGAAACTTTCTTCCACGACTAAAAATAATGTTGCCAAGGGGGACCATTCACTCCTTTCCTCTACGGGTTGCCCGCCTATTGCGGATGGGATCGGTGCGGGATGATCACCTGACTCGCCGCCTGAATTAGGCGTGTTGTTTTTGAGGCAACGAGTCTGGCGCAATCGACTTGTGACACGATAACTGCTTTGCGCCGTCAATCTGGCGAGCAAACCGACCGCACCCGACCCAACCCCTAATAGTTCTGTTTGGACTGAACAATCTTCTAGCTAGATAAACACGATCGTCTGATTACTTAGCTTAGCTTGCTTCTTTCCGTATCTCCAGGTAGATAGATCAAGTATAATAATTTGTGAAAGACTTTAAATCTTAGGTTAGGAGGGTAGATTTAGACATGGATCGATTTTTCCAGAAAACCACTAAAGGGGACGTTGAAATATAATCTTACGCCTGGAAA